GGGGGGGGGGGGGCGTGTTGTCTGTCTGACTTGCTGCAGCTTAAAATGCACACTGTGAGAGGCTTACAGAGTTCAGAGGAAATCATTTGACTACAGGAAGAGCTTTCATTTATTTATCAGTGGATTTCCATGAAGACAGATGTCAGTTTTGCACCTGTTGTTCGGCTCTCATGCCAATTTGTTTTATTAAGTCCGTCAGGTTCTACATGAATGATTTGTATGGCTGCAGTCTCCTAATCTAAATTGTTCACTTGCTGCCTTTACAGAGCTCTGAATGTTTTATTATAGGTAGAAATACTGGCCATGCAGCTGAATGGCCAATAAATGTATTTTTATAACACAAGATTAAGCATAATAATATACATGACGCATATAATCCCGGCATGTGCAGCGGCATTGTTATCATCGGATTGTTTGTAGCCCAAATCAGACTGTTGTATCATTTTTGTGTGAGTCATGAAGGTGATCTCTGGAGGGGGAGCAGCAGAAAGTCATTCCTCCTGCCGGAATATTTTGTATCCCACTAAGGAGCCAATTTATAAATCTTCCTCCCAGCCATACACTGGGTGAATTCCTATGCTCCTTGCCTCCATCTAGTGGCAGGAATGCCATGCGACTAGAGGAAGATTTATAAATCGCCCTTTATTGTACCACATGGTGCTATTTTAAGGAAAACCGTCCTCTGCATTTATGGCCTAACAGGTCCTTCAGATTTGCATCAGTTCTATACGTAGGGTCCCAGGCACCTCTGCCAGACAGCATTGTTTGGTCACTTAAGGTGCCCATACACTGTGCGATTATCGCACGATAATCTCGTGGATCGTACGATAATCGCAAAGTGTATAGAAGACGTGCGACCGTTTCTACTGTACGGTTGCACGTCTTTTGTCTAAGGAGCGTGCTAGAAAACCAGCCGAGAATCTACGATTTTCGGCTGGTTTTTAGCATGATCGTAAAATCAATGCCGCACACTGCCCGTTCAGCATTGCGGTCATTGGAAGCCTGCCCCTCAGGGGGCGTGGCTTGCGATTATCGCAACAACTATCTGCCTGTCCAAGATGGGCAGATCGTATGTTTTTTGAATTACTTTACAACCATCGCAAGACTAAGGTCTTGCGATGGTTGTAAACTGTATGGCCACCTTTACCCCTCTTTTTTCCACTGTTGTTAGACAATACAGCTTGATCATTAACCCCACCTGCTTTTTGGACATACAGACTACAGTCATCACTGACATTCTGTCAGCAATTTCCCACTGTTTGACTACACCGTGCGGCCTTACCTGTACAAGTCTGATTTTTTTTTTTTCCAGATTACAGGAAGCTAATATAAAGACAGATTGTAGATATGGTCATCTATAAAAAATACAGCTTTAGTAGCTAGGACCAGGAAAATGCTGAGCTGCAAAGATTCAGTGGAAGCACCAGGTATCTTCTCTGTAAGATTTGGTATTGGTGAGCACGGCGTTGTGGAGGTGATGGGTGCAGACACTGCTGTTCATTGTACTAGAATTTTTGTTTGTTTTATTAGTTTAGTATTATATACTTTTAACTTACACCAATCTTTTTCTTTCTAGATTACAGCAAAAGCAGCAGTTATGTTTGTCACATTACAGTATAATGTCACCATTCCAGTAGAAGGTACGTTTTCTCAAATACATTATTTGCCAATTTATGTGATTATTTTTTTTAGGTGTCTTACACACCTTCATTTTGAAATGCAGAACCTGTTATAAAACAATCCTTACTATGAATATAAAATGGGGAATCTATCAAAACTAGAGCAGTTGTCCAGAGAAACCAATCGGCTTCTCCCTTCAGTTTGTTCTGTTAAGCTTTCAAAATGAAAGCTAGAAGCTGATTGGTTGCCATGGGCAACTGCTCCAGATTCTCTCTGCTCCAGATTCTCTCTGCTCCAGTTTTGATAAATTCCCCCAATGAATGCTTTTCACAGGTATTAGATTCTGACATGCTGTGGGTGGTGGTTATGCTGGAGGTTCTTTTGTTGAATTTTGACTTTTTGTAACTTTGTGGACTTTTTGCCTGTTAGCGGTTGGGGCTTTACCTCTCTATTGGATCACAGGAGTACATTTACTAATTATCATAATTGCATTTACTAATGTACTCCTGTGACCCAAAGTCGATAGAGAGCTATTGCCCACTCTATGCAGACAGTACACAGCTGCAGTGGGGATGGATAGCTGTCTGATTGTTGGGATCCACCTAGCTCTCTGATTGTTGGGATCCACCTAGCTGTCTGATTGTCGGGATCCACCTAGCTGTCTGATTGTCGGGATCCACCTAGCTGTCTGATTGTCGGGATCCACCTAGCTGTCTGATTGTCGGGATCCACCTAGCTGTCTGATTGTCGGGATCCACCTAGCTCTCTGATTGTCGGGATCCACCTAGCTCTCTGATTGTCGGGATCCACCTAGCTGTCTGTCTATCTCAATACAAATTGGTAAACTAAACATGAGATTGTAGTCCACCACAGGAGGGAGCTTGGAGCGGTGACTACTTTACATCATACACAGGGACCATGGGGAAGACAAAGTAGCCACCCTCCAAAAGGAAGGACAGTGTCGGCACCAATTCAGAGATGATTTGAGGATCTACAGCCGAGTGATACACAAATCGGATACATTTTTGTTAATAGCTAAGGTCCCTGAATGTAATTTTAGGTTTTAACTCCTCAGTATAGTGTCACTGTAAGGATTAGAAGACAGGCAGGAAAAACATTGATATCTGCATACCACCCATCATGGCCCTTTGATGCTGAATACCAGAGGCCTGAAGGTTTCCTGCTTTGAGGTGATGCTGGTACAAGAAAGTGAATGTTTTTTATTCCTCTCCAGGTTCATGAATCTACCTCATCACCCTAAAGGATTTTATTCCCAAAAAAAATCTCCTTTTATGACTGTCCTCAGTAGACGTGTGGAAAAACACAGCTAACAACTGGAGCTAGGGACATTTTCGGAAGTTAAAACCCATGTGACGGCTTATTTAACTGACTTTTACTTGCAGAATCTTGTATAAAATCTGTGATAAGTAGTTCATATAGGAAATTCAGACAAAAGCATAATTTTTGGTAATGGAACATGGTAATAATACCAGTAGCCTATTTATACACAGTAGAACAAAATGGCAACATTACCATTTGTATTGGACTCATTTCAGACATATGAAGAAATAAAGCAATCAGAAATGTTGATCACAAGGGATGCATGTATGGGCTGCACTAGAATTGCAGCCCATACTGTAGTACAGATACTAGCCATGGCTCTTGACTGTTGGTATATGCTCCCTAATGACAAGCTTTTTATAGGACTTTCACTAAATCTGTTGCAAGCAGCAAATAAATCCACATTATCTTGTTATCTAAACAGAAAAGTTCCAGAATAGAAACAGGACGCTGTGTGTGTGTGCTGTGTTCTATTTAAAGACGTAGCCTGCGTTTATCCTAGCAAAACCTATCAGTGTCTTAAACTAAGGACTGGAGCAGAGTCTTGCCACTATTGTTTTAAATAAGACTTTACATAATAACTGAGACAAATCACAGTTAAGATTCATGAAACCCTGCCAGAGTTGTGTAAGAGTTCTACTTTGGAAGGATTTTCTATACAATGTGTGTGTAAACCGTAACAATGAAGGTCTCTTAATTACATATATATCTATATATCTCATTGAAGGCATTTGTTACATCTATTCCATCGAAAAATACTTGTTGAACCTTCCAATATTTTAGTGAGCTGCTAATGTCCTGTGCACATCTAAAGCGGTGTTGTCAGCCTTGATGAGTTCACCTCTGTAGACAATAGAACATCTCCCCATGTGTTATGGGAATGAGGAGGGGGGGTGGTGGTGGGGGGGGGTGTTCTGTAGTCCAAACACACTTTAAGGCATTTACCATACATTTCTGAGAGTGCGTATGTAGTCTGAATCTTGCACTAAACTCATGAAAACCCTGCACCATTTTCATTGTTCATACCAATGCTGCAAGTAATTCAAGGTTTTTTTGCAACACTTTTACATCCTGGCGCTATCGTTGTGAGTAATTCATAAAGAAATACGGCCATATCAGTGATAAGGAAAGTGGAGGTAAATGTTGCCGTAAATTGTTGATCCGGTCGCTAGTATTTAATGTGACAAATCTTTTGAGACACAATTTGTCTGGATTTGCTCCTCTTTGCTGATGTGTTTGTTTCCATTACTCTCCGGATAGCTTCTCTGCCTGTAAAACTTCACCACATGAATCTGTCACAAGTTCCACCATTTGTCCCACCGCTGCGATTCTTTATGAATGTCAGGGTTTGTGTCATACGTTGACAACACTACTTCTCCATATGTACAATACAGTGAGTGAGTGCTAGGTCAGGAAGTGTGTTACTGGTAGGATCACCAGGAGAAAATAAAGGAAAAGCCCGAAAACAAAACCCAATGCAGCCGCCACATTTTCAGACTGGTAAGCGGCAATATATTGACATTCTTGTTCTTTGCTTTCCATACACTTTAATAAAAAGGTAACTGTTGGATAACATGTAATACAATAAACTTCAACTCTGCTGTATGGTTATGCCTGTTGCTTATGTAATACATCTTGTTGCCTCTTGCAGTGCAAAGCTCTGTAGGAAGATTGTACTGTTGAGTTAGCCCTCATTCACATCCCTGCATTTCGGGAGCATGTGCAATGTCGCAGCAAATCATGCATTGCATAAGAGTAAATTTTGCAATGTTAGGTGTACTGCGATGCTAATTTTTCTCTAATGGCACCTCAGGGCACCTAGCAATCGAATGTTTGTTGCATCGCATTGTAACTTATTACTAGGGATGCACTGATACAAAGTACAGATACTTTTCCAGCTCCAAGACTAGACTAGAAAAAATCTCAAAAGTTAGGAGGCCGCTGTCATTTGTAAGGAGCACACGGAGCTCCTGGGATGTGTACATCTGTTTTAATGTATGATTTTGTTTTTATAAATATAAATAAGGGGATGCACCTATACCAGTTTTGCAAGTACTCATACTTGCCCAAGTACTTGCAAGTACTGATACATTTTTGTTTATTGTCATGTGACAGTCTTCCTAAAACAATATCGACTAATGATTTCAGGACAGTGATGGAGACCCAGAGCCAGGTCCCAGCTGCTACCCTTGTATTTCTCGTGAAAATGGCGAGTATAGGCACTGGTATCGGTGCATCCCTATTACTATGCGATGTAGTGCAGTGTGATTTTTAAAATGAGGTGCATGCACTTCTTTGAGCGCGATTTTAGCTGTGGTAGGCAGCCAGTTCAAATGAATGGGCTGCCCTACTGCAACATACCCTGCAGCTCGCCTGTAAGGTCATGAATGGAGGTTAAGGGTGTGTACACACGCCTTGTTTTCCTGCATTTGACCTACATTTAGAACTTGTCAAGTTAATGGGAGAATCTCCATGTATGCTCAGTACAGTAATTAAAATGATACAAAAAAGAGGTGAAATTAGAAATACAAAATGTAAAGTTGAAACTGACCGCCAAGCATAATGTACAAACTGTACACTAAGCTACAAGAGACTGATCCCAGTTGGGGGCTTAAAATATTTACATAAAAAAAAAAATGCATTTGATATATTAACCAGTTACCGTCCGCCCGTTGAAAAAAAAAAAAAACGGACGGACGGCATAAGAGGACCTGTCAGTGTACCTGTGCTATTATATAGGGGGATTGTTATCCCCCTATGTAATAGCAATAACTAAGTGCAAAAAATTAAAAAATACATTTAGAAAAAATAAGTCGCATATAAAAAAAGTAAAAAAAAAAACCCAAAATGTTTAAGTCCCCTCACCCCCCACATTTACGCACATATAAACTTAAATACGCGTCCGGTGCACCAGCGTGCGAAAAAGACCATTGCGCTACACACGTTACATATCGCCGCGAACGTCGCAGTGAGAGCAATCATTTTAGGGCCATCAATCACTGATAACACTAAACTGATGAGCGGTAAAAGCTTTTAAAGCGTCGCCTATGGGCTATTTTGGGTATTATCGTTTTTTGAGGTTTCGCGCGCAATTTTAAGGCTTGACATGTTTGCTGTCTTTTTACCCGATGTGACCCCGTGTTTTATATTTTACCAAAAAATTGGGTAATAATAAATATTTTATCATTTAATATAGGGGAAACCGTTTTTTTTTGTAAAATTTCAGTAATTTTTCCTTATTATAGTAAAAAATAAAAACCCCAGTGGTGAATAAATACCACCAAAAGAAAGCTCAATCTGTCCCCCAAAAAAAATAGTATAAAATGTATTTCAGTACAGCGTTGTATGATGGAATAAATGTCAGTCAAAGTACCGCAGCGCTGAATACTGAATGGCCGGGACAGGAACGGAGTTTAACACTGCGGACTTAAAGTGGTTAATGATCAGAGCTGGGCCATGTGGGCCATTAATTTGGGTCATTTGTATCTCTCTGGAGTTTTAAAATCAATTATATGCTTCCCAAAAATACAATATTGTTTCTCTTTTGAATCTGTTTATGTAGAGTCCTTTCCAGTATTAAAAATTAAAGTTGGAGAAAGCTTTGAGGGTAGCTTGAGCCTGTCCAATCATTGATGAAATACCAGACGTCAGCAATAGACACTCACATGGGGCTTGCTGGCTGGTCATAGCTTTCCCAGCACAGCATGAGACGGTACACGTATGTAAACGTGTCTTCTCAGTCTGCATGTCCCTGTGCTATCATTTTAGCTATGGCTGCTGTATAATAAATATACTCTACTTAATCCTTCTTGAATTAAATATATTTGGAATGTTCTTGGCAGTTGCTTTTGGTAGCACTTCAGATGTTAAATGGCAGATGTTACACGTGTCGAGCGGTAATTTTTTATTACAGGTAAATAACCTTACACTTCAAATTTACATATGATTGATGGAAACTGCTCAGTCTTTGATTCTCAATAGGTACATAAGAGCATATCACAAACATCTGTTTTATTTTCTTATAGTAAGAAGAATTTTACATAGATTATGTATATAGTTTGTGCAAAACTTTACAAAATATCGAGAAACAGTACAGTTACAATAGCATTTAATACAGGAGGGTGACATTTAACTTAGGGGGGGTGTTCTATCAAAGTTTGTGACTACGTTATAATGTGTGATTGGTCACACATTTTAACATAATCCTGTCCAGTTTTTCGGCGCGGTGGAATATGTGACCAGCAATAGGGCAAGCATTCCAACGCTTTCTCAGCTGTTCCAGGGCAGATGGGCATCGCAGACCGTACTCTGCAGAAGAACGGTTCTTAAATGTCACTTCTATCTGACTTTGTGGAATGTGAGATCGCACTCGCAAAGTCGGATGGAAGTGACATTTCAGGACCGATCAGCTGTTCCAGGGCAGATCGGTTCTCCTGCACATGCGATCTGTGATGCCGATCTGCCCTGGAACAGCTGAGAAAGCATTGGAATGCTTGCCCTATTGCTGGCCACTCATTCCACCGCTGTAAAACTGGCCGGGATTACGTTAAAATGTGTGACCATGTGAGCGGTCACACATTCTAACCTAGTCACAGACTTTGATAGAACACCGACCCTGCTTGTAAGAGAGCTTACAATCTAAAAGCGATACAAAAGGCATAAATTGTGATGGAAGAGCTGATGGAAGAATTACAGTAAATATGTGGCGGTGGGATAGGCTTCCTTGAAGAGAGGTTTTGAAGGATCATCTTAAGGTGGACAGAGTAGGATATAGGTGGACAGATTGGAGTAGGGATCAAGAAGTCCTTGAGTTAAGCATGGGAGGGGGTGACGAGAAGGATCTAGAGAGGAGCAGAGAGGATGATTTGGGCTGCTATACATTCTCTTATTGCTGTGCATGTCTTGTCAATGAACATGTTAACAAATCACTAAAAACCTCTCGTTGTCTACTCCGTCTCCTCTTCAGCGTGCTCTTCAGCGTTGCATAGCTGTTCAGATGTGAGCCAGGGAGAAAAAACAAACCATTAACACAATAGGTTTCCTGTGTTTTAATATCTGTAAGCTCTGCTGTCAATCAGCATGACACATTTGGACACAGACAATTGATGAATATTTAAAACCACAAAGCCTTATGCTAAAGAGTAGAATTATTTCTCTTGCTGCCCACTCCACCCTTTGCCGTACTTTTGCAAAGAAATCTTCTGACGTTTGCTAAGAAACCAACATTTCTTGGAGTGCCGATCTTTGCGTCCACCGCTGTGCTCAGTGGTTCCACCCACCCAGCACCATGTCATTACTGTGTCCTGTAGTGATGTGGAGGCCATAGAGATGGCCATGTAGATGTTACTGGTTTTGACCTAATGACATTGATTTGGTTGATTTTTGTTTTTCTTTTGTCTTTCAGGTGTTTTAGGTGAACCAGTTTCATTGTATCACTATGGTATCAAGGACGCGGCAACAGTTTTCTTTTATATGCTTGTGGCAATAATATTACATGCTGTCATACAAGAATATGTCCTAGATGTAAGTACAGACTTTCTTTATTGCTTTCAGATACTACTCTAAATGTCCAATTCTAAGGTTACTTCTTATTCTGTCTGCCTGTCTGGGTCCTCTTTTGTGTCAGAAAAGAGACCATGAGGCTTGGTCAATTATACAGAAAGGGGTTAAGTTATAACTCGCCCTTGCAATGTGTATACATTGGGTAGATGCCTTTCACATGGCGCTGAGCAGGGCCTTCCCTATAATGAGGTAGCCTGAGGGTGGTTAGCAGGCTTTCTCTTTCCGGTCAGAGCTTCCAGGTTGCTAAGAGCCGGGCGGAGAGACGGCTAAGGGCTTTGCATTTCTCCGGCCAGCTCTTGGCAACCTGGGACGCTCTGCCCATGTACCGCTTAGCTTCTTTGGCAACCAGTGTTGTCAGTGAGCCAGACGGGACACCACTCAGAAGAGCTCCGTTAGTGCGCAGTGCCAGCACACCATCCATGCCCCCAACCCCCCACTGAAACATGACCACTAGTGCCTCCCCCCACAGCCCGCAATTATGCTACTTACAGAGTTATTCACAAAAGGGTGAAGAGTTTGGAGAAGACGGGAGAAGTGAACAATCTAGGACAACATAGCTGAACTAGAAAGTGAGATAAATTGCAAAATGTTTCCAAATCGGCTATTTTGGCCTAGATTTTTCATTTCTCCTGCCTTCTATAAACTCTCCACCCTTTTGTGAATAACCCTGTAAGTGTTTCCTTCAAATGTGTTGCATATAGTTCAGTGATAAAGCATCTAAAGCACACCACGCACTAACAATGCAACACACCTAACATGTACAGATGGGAACTGGGCCATCTTGTTTGTCATTCTTTTTTTTAACCTTCGTTTTACTTACCATCTGCCATTCACTCTGTGAAAATAATCTTTTAACAGTTTGATTTATTATTGAGATCTCTCATGTCAGTCTGAATTTACCTTGGTTAGTAAGATGTTAATTTAGTTGACCTAAACAAACTGTCTTCTTTCAGAAAATTAACCGGCGCATGCACTTCTCCAAGACAAAGCACAGCAAGTTCAATGAGTCTGGCCAGTTGAGTGCGTTCTACTTTTTCTCTTGCATATGGGGAGCGAGCATCATTGTCTCAGTAAGTCTGCAGTCCTATGCTCTCAATGCTTGTTGTTATTTTTATTGTTCCTTACACTTGGAGAACTGTTCCTTACACTTGGAGAACTGTTTTTAGTTTAAAAGAAAAACAAAAAACTTTTTCCTCACTTTTAGGCTGTATTAACATGGGGAGATTTGGGTATTCCTGCGGCAGGTACCTACAGATTCCCTTTGGCAGGGAATCCCAGTTGTTTCTGTTCAGATGCATTTATGCTGCGTCCAGGGACAATCCTCTATTCCGAACAGCAGGTAATTTATAGCATGTGCGATTACATGCAAACTGCTGCTGACAGATGCGGCCCCTGTCACCCAGTCATTAATTATGGTGGGTACATCTGCCATATCTAAGCGGGGACACCTAGAATTCCTGCTGCAAGAAGCCCAGAAAGCAGCATGTGTCCCCTTGTGAAAAAGGCCTTAACGTTGAGAACAGAAGCAGTTTAATGTACAACAGTTAGCTCAACACTTATCCATGTCTAAGGAGACCTTTTATGTGCCCAGAGTGGCTTCTAAAGTACTTTGATTATTTTTTTCAGATAAGCAATGCTGTCTTTGGTAATTTTTATGCATTGTGTTTTTGAGATGGGTCCATTTGTTTCCGACCTTGGGCTGGACAACCGAAATTAAATGAGTGGATAAGCATAGACTTGTGTGGGATGTATCAGGTTTGTGCTTTTCGGTTTACCATGTGCATCCAATGTATGGAGCCAAGCATCTGGCTAAATAGTTGGATACAAATGAATATTAATAATAGTAATATTAACAATATTCTTCAGGATTTATATAGCATCAACAGTTTGTGCAGCACTTTCAATATAAAGAAGACATTACAGTTACAATACAATTCAAAACAAGATGGTTAGGAGGGCCCTGCCCGTGAGAGCTTACGCATGACCATTGAGCATGCATCATCATTAGAATAAGTGTCTTTTCTACATATTCAGGAACTGGCACCACCTCCTCTTTAGTCATCAACCAATAAAACTACCCAAAGCAGATATTTCAGCTTTGTGTGATTGCTGTCAAGTTGAGTAACATGCTTATCGTAGTAATTCCAGCACCACCACCCAAAATTTCTATTACTGTGCAAATAATGAACAAATCTGAATGATGGTGAAACTCTTCCTAGTGAAACCTGCATAGTGTTGAAGAAACAGATCTTTTGCAAGTCCATTTGGTGGTTTGGCATCTTCATGTTGGCTTTGTGCAAGAGATGCAAACTACTGCTGGGACGTTGCACCTGGAGTATCTGAGACGTAGCAGAAGCCTCAGCTCGGTAGTACCCATTAAGGATGGGGGGGCGGGGTGGTGGGCTGCAGGACCTTAGGATGCATGCAAACTAATATATCAAAGCAATAAAAGATTTCCATAAAGCTAGTGCATAGTAAACATTTGCAGTGAATGCTTATTTTGGTTTGCGAGCTTTGCGTGTGCCTCTTGATGCACATTGTAGACTGAGCTAAGGTCCAGCAGTGTAATGTATACTGTTCATCGGCCATTCACCTCTTTGCATATAATAATGGGGAAAAGAAATAGAGAGGAAATTCTATTTGGCAAGGCTTCCACATATGTCAGCAGTATACTCCGGACTGTTTTATGTAGCAGCGTGCCATTAATCATCCAATAATATGGGCAAAGCAACGCTGATGGCCTCTTCAGAATGAATAGATCTAACTCCCTGTCATTCTGCTAACTGAAGAGCGTGCGGTGTTTGTGGTATTAGTTGCCATAGAGACCATTTCTGAACAGTAATGTTATTTTCAGCTAAATAGCTACCTGCACAACCACTAATTAGAATGTTTGGATGATTAGAGAATGCAGCCTAATTTACTGCTTTAATGATTAGAGAATGCAGCCTAATTTACTGCAGAAGGGTTTTGTGCTGCTCGGTCACCATGTAACAGTGCTTTTGGTAATATTTCTTTTTATTTATAATGTCTGTTTAGGAGAATTATTTCTCAGATCCCACCAGTTTATGGAAAGGCTACCCGCACACCTACTTTCCGTAAGTGATTTCTTTTGTTTTTTTTATGTGGTTAAAGGGAGCACAGATTTTGCTGCACATCAATACATTTTCAGTCCAGCAGAGTCTGGCCCCTGTGTGTGTTTTTCCTGTATGAGTTCTTCCATTGTACACTGTGCAAGACCTTAGTTCCTGTTTTAATGTATTTTGGTAAAATGGGGCAGAACAGTTGTGAAGGCTGATTTATGAAAACTACTGCATGGGAGTAGCAGATATACAGTGTATATAAAAAGTAGGCATGCACCGATACTTTTCGAGTACCAATGCAGATACTTGGCATTTTCATGAGGAACTACCAGGGTTGCAGTGGTAGCAGCTAGGACCTGGCTCTGGTTCTCCACCACTGTCCTGAAATCATTAGTCGATACTGTCACATGACAAGCAAATGTATCAGTACTTGTAAGTACTTGGGCAAGTACCAGTACTTGTACTTGCAAAACTGGTATTGGTGCATCCCTTTATTTATAAAAACAAAATCATACATTAAAACAGAGATGTACAATTCCCAGGAGCTCCGTGTGCTCCTTACAAATGACAGCTGCCTCCTAACTTTTGAATTTTTCTCTGGTTTTGTCTCGGACCTTGAAGAGTATTTGTACATGTACTTGTACCGAGTACTGTACTATCGGTGCATCCCTAATAAAAACTCTACACACCCCTGTAAAAATCCCAGTTTTTTAATATGGGGGGAAAAATTATAATAAGCTGGTTGCATAAATATGCACACCCTAAACTAATACTTTGTGGTGAAGCGCCTTTTGATTTTATGATCGCATTCAGTCTTTTGGAGTAGGAGTCTATCAGCAAGGCACATCTTGCCTTGGCAATCTTTCTTGCAAAAGCTTTTCAAATCTGTCCGAATGCGAAGGCATCTCCTGTGCACAGCCCTCTTCGGGTCACCCCACAGATTTTCAATTGAGTTCAGGTCTGGACCATTCCAAAACTTTGATCTTCTAGTGTAGCCATTATTTTGATTTGTGGGTAGGCTTTGAGTAATTGTCACGCTGGAAGGTGAGATTCCTCTTCAACTTCAGCTTTGTAGCAGAGGCCTGAAGGTTTTGTACCAAAATTGAATAATATTTGGGACTGTTCATAAGTCCGTCCGCCTTGACTGAAGCCCCAGTTCCAGCTGAAAAAAAACAGCCTCAAAGAATAATGCTGTCACCACCATTCTTCACTGTGGGTTTTGTGTTCTTTTGGTGAAGCGCAGTGGTGTTGTGTGAGGTAGTGTGGCAAGACGGAATCCTTTTCTTAATGAGAAAAACATCCAGCCCGGCTACATTTTGCAAAGACTTATATAAAGTAATTGCTCTAGCTTAGTACTTGGGGGGTATAACTAATTAAGTGACCCTTAACGCAGAACTTAAATCTTTAACATGCATTTGAGTACCTTAACTATTAACAAAACTGGACATTATTTGTGTATCACTCAACTGTAGATCCTCAAATCATCTCTGAATTGGTGCTGACACTGTACTTCCTTCTGGAGGGTGGCTACTTTTGTTCCCAGTGGTCCCTGTGTGTGTTGTAAAGTAGTCGCCGCTCCTAGCTCACTCCCGTGAATGTACTATAATGTCTATACAAATTCCTTAACATGAGATTGTAGTCCATCACAGGAGTGAGCTTGGAGTGGTGACTACTTTACAACACACACTGGGACCATGGGGGAACAGAAGTAGCCCCCCTCCAGAAGGAAGGACGGTGTCAGCACCAATTCAGAGATGATTTGAGGATCTACAGCCGAGTGATGCACAAATAAGATACATTTTTCTTAAAGTACTTGAATGCAGTTTTAGGATTTTACTCCTGAGTTTAGTGTCACTTTAAATGGTTTTCATTATCTCCTTTAGTACTAAGCATTAGGCTGATGTTTATTTTTTGGGAGGATTCTTCCCTAGCAGCAGATGGTAGACTTTCTTTACTACTAGTAGGACTTTGTCTTCAGTTGGTTGGTAGCTTTCTTGCTTATAAGCGCTAATATGTATTAAGCAAAGGTCGGAACCCGTTGAAAGGGGAAAATGTCACGAAGCAAGGCTGTCCGTGAGGGTGGTAATTAGTGCAGGGACAATATGGCTTCCTTATACGTTTTATATCCATCTAGAAAGGAGGGGTCCAGCCCTGCCTTATCAGCGGAACCCATGTCAATTGGACTGTGTTTCTTTCTAACCTGTTCTTCATGACAGCAGCTGACAGATGGCACTGGGGAGAACCCACAGACGTAAGATGATGGACGGGCGGATCAGATAATGCTCGCCTCGCATCTGTGTGCGTGCCAAACAAACCACAGATGGAAGCTGACATTTTTTTTAATCGTGATCTGCATGTCCCATTCCAGGACAGTCTCACTATGAATGAATTCACAGTCCTGAAATTGGTATGCTGTCCAGATTGGCTATTTCTAACAGAGGCTTCTAAGATGTGTATTTTGTGACAGATTCCCTTTAAAGTACATCTGTCATGAGATAAACATGTAGGGTGAAGTTGCTGACTTACTTTGGAAAATGTTAGTTAACCTGGTTGTGTCTGCCCTGCAGCTGAATTCTGGCCACATTAACTTTCGTTGCAATAGCCAAAGATATAAATCCAATTTGTGTGCACCAAATGCCTTTACAAATCTAGATATCACCTTGTAAAAGTAGCAGCGACATCACCACTGTGCTGTACATAGCTTGTGCATAGTGCAGAGCAGTGGGAGGGACACAGAAGGCTCCACCCACTACTGTCTGCCTGTAGAAAACCACAGGAGGAGGCGGATACAAGACAAGTCACCCCACACAAGGAGAGAACAGCAGTGGACTGGTCTTTGTTACTGAAATCTCTTATATAAAGTCTGTTCCACACTGGATTACTGCACAGATCAGGAATAAATACACAAAGCACACCAAGATTAATGTAAGAATACACATGACTCTTGTATTTACACAATATGTGCTTGCTCCCAGAGTTTTCCTGGTTTGCGTATTTCCAGGGCAGTGGCACAAAGTGTTGGTAAGATCACATATCGAGGGCAACTTGGTTTTTTGAAAGGTGAGGTCAGCCATGGCAGCCTACATGTTCTCTCAGTACAGGTTTGCTCCCTTTTGTAATACTTTTTGAGCTCCAAGACTAGACAAAGATTCAAAAGTTAGGAGGCAGCTGTCATGTGTAAGGAGCACACGGAGCTCCTGGGATTTGTACATCTCTGTTTTAATGTATGATTTTGTTTTGATAAAAATATATAAAGGAATGCATTAAAGATGCCAAAAGATACCATTTTGTATAAGTACTGATACATGTGACAGTTTTTCTAAAATACAGACGAATGATTTCAGGACAGTGGTGGAGTGCCAGAGCCAGGTCCCAACTGCAACCGCTGCAACCCTGGTAGTTCTCATGAGAATGCCAAATATCTGAACTGGTATCGGTGCATCCCTAGTTGCCATGGATCAATAGATTTCTAGTCTGAGTGGTAGAGTAGGTCCACTTTATTGAGGTCTAATGTACAAAGGCGTTTGGGATGCCTCTTCCTTACATTTGGCATGGGTTGACATTGACTTGTATGTAGAGATAAAAGCAGAGATCAAACTGATGTCACATTGACCACACTGAACTTGGCTAATCTTGTAGAATCTTTTAGACCTAAAAGTTGAATTTAAGAAAAGCAATCAGATTCCATGTGACCTTCCCTTTTCAGGATGCAAATGCTCCACATGTGTTCTGTGTTGTCCTGCTCTACATTCTAACTTATATGTTCAGATTTTAAATAAATATCTATTTGTTTTTAGGTTCCAGATGAAGTTTTTCTATGTTTCACAACTGGCCTACTGGTTCCATGCCTTCCCAGAGCTTTATTTCCAGAAAACAAAGAAGGTAAATTGTCTTTTTCCCCCCCAAGAAATCAGAATCTAGTCGAAAGGAAGGTGGAACTAATATGTTATAATGCTTTTCTGTTGTCCCGGCGTAACTGGCAAATATAAAAATCCAAACCTTTTTGTATAAAACCTAAAATCTGACCACGTTGTCTGTCTGCTTGTGTGTCAATCCCTCTCGGGCGGCCCTTGAATGATGATCCTTCACCAATATTCACCCACCCATCAGGATCTTATAGGTCCACTATCTGTTGAGGAATTACAAGTACTTTGCAGCTGCTATCGTTGGTCTAAACGAGTCTTCTCATTACTCTATGCCATCTTTCATGAGGGGCCTAGCAAACCACATTGGGCAATAAATTGAGTCAATAGGGAAGTCATAGAACAGGTGTGGCCAACTCCGACCTGCCAGCTGTGCTTTAACTACAAATCCCAACATGCCTCTGTCTCTGGGAGTCATGGCTGTAACTGTCAGTCTTGCAGTGCCTCATGAGACTTGTAGTTCCACAACAGCTAGGGGGCCGGAGTTGCCCTCTCTCCAAACCACACATAGTAAAACTGGAGCACAAGGACTAGTTTTCAGCACGCCTTTATTATAACTTTTTAGGAACATGTACATTGTATTATGTCTTCCGTATGTGTGTATGAAATAGTTTTACACTGATCCATTTTATTCTGAACAATATGTACTTTTCTTTTTGTTTACCTTACACATAAATGAGCCTTCTCTAACCATTCCCCATTTGGTAAGGTTTCCATATCCCTTATCTCTATTTAAGGTTTCAGTTGTTATTGAAGGATAACGTTATGTAAAGCTAAGATGTGAACACACTGTAACACACCGAGAATGGAGTTCCCTCCTGGGAGACACAGGGGATGGGCTTGGACCCATTTATAGCACAGAGCATATTCCGAACAACATGTACCCAATACAGAGGACACTAGCATTTGCAGCACAGAATGTGCAGGGTGTACTGGAACAGCCCAAACCACCAATTTTGCATGGCAGGTGAACTGTAGGAAGCGATTTTGGCGATCACCTGATCAGTGTCCACATCCATGAAATGTTTGCTAACACTAACTTACAGCAAATAGGTTTGTTGAGTATGTGTCTGTTAAGGGTAGCCTTTGACAACATTGCCGCTTACCAGAAAATTGTTTAACATGGCAAGTGCAGGTTTTACCCTTGTTTACCAGCGTGCACAGGTGCCTTGTTGTATGCAGGTACAAAAATGACTTTTGAGGTTTGGAAAATAGGGAGCAGCAGCATAATACCATAGCTGCATCAGAATCATATGATTATCTTTGATGAGCTACATGGTGACATAAGCATATTTCCAGAGCCTTTAAGTTGCTATCTGGATGCTCATTTTCAGTTATTTGGATGTGTGCAGAGCTTAGGACTCTGAAGAAACCATGGGGTCTTATTTTTGAAGCTATTCTAAAACATTGTTTATAGTTAAGAACTATATAAAGCACTACAGGTACACTTTGCTAGTTCTAACCGGGGCCACAAGAGCTGTTTATAAGTTGGACGATAAACAGACTCCTCTTGTGATATTCAGGCTTTGTGTGGAGTCTCGGCAGGCAATGCATGTGTGAATCTGTTCATATTCTTGCTTCAGAAAGCAAAAATTGATCGTGAATATGACTAGAATGCTCACAGTGAATTCTCTGATTTTTCAGGAAGATATCCCTCGTCAGCTGGTGTATATTGGACTATATATCTTCCATATTACAGGTGCATATGTATTAAAGTAAGTATGCTCATGAGTTCTACCTTTTGTTCATATGTAGATGTTCTTACTAAAGTGTAGCTGAAGGTTGTGGCTATACATTGTGTAGAGAAATCGCCTGCTGCACTTGGTGTATTTCCACTTCTGCAGCCAAATTGGGATAACACCTAATTAATATTTGTTACATGTTCCTATTCACATAGTATAACTTAAAAGTTGCAGCTAACCTTTTTTTATGTGCTCTTTTCTGGAAAATCCTGCTTAGTTCTTGCTGTCTGAGAGGGGCCTGGGGAGTTTTGTTTGTCATTGTTAACCTTGTCTGTACTGTGCTTTAAGAAATACAGTCCCTCAGTCTGTCCCCCTTATCTACCATCTATCCTAACCACTAGAAGCTGCCTGTAGTTTCCCATGTATAATCCTGCTCCAAAAAGGTAAGAAATCCTTTTTAAAACTTTATTTTTAGATATGATGTGTGAATGGGAACACATAACAAACATAGTGGGGGGTTCTCAAATTTGACAGTAAAAGTTCAAATATACTTTAAAGTTGACGGGACACTAAACACAGGAGCTGAACTTTGAAAATGCATTCAAGTACCCGAGCTATTAATAAAAATGTATCTTATTGTGTATCACTGGGCTGTAGATCCTCAAATCATCTCTGAATTGGTGCTGACAATGTCCTTCCTTCTGGAGGGTGGATACTTTTGTTCCCTATGTGTGTTTGTATAGTAGCCATTGCTCCAAGCTCACTCCTATGATGGACTACGATCTCAATACAAATGAGTAAACTAAACGTGAAATTGTAGTCCATCCCAGGAGTGAGCTTGGAGCAATGGCTACTATACAAACACACATAGGGAACAAAAGTATCCACCCTCCAGAAGGAAGGACATTGTCAGCACCAATTCAGAGATGATTGGAGGATCTACAGCCGAGGGATACACAAATAAGATACAATTTTGTTAATAGTTAAGGAACTTGAATGTATTTTTAAGGTTTAAATCCTGAATTTAGTGTTGCTTTAACCCGCCTGCTACTTTAAATGTTTAGCAGTTCTCCCGAAAAGCAAGCACAGCAAGATGCTTGTTCCCTTTTTTTATAGGGAGAAAACCTTCCTTTGTTTGCCTCTTTGAAACCAGTTCTAATTTATTGCTAAGGGCCTGACTTTGCTGGTTTCAAGGTCTTTTCCTACTAACTACCATCCTCTTGTGTGATTGTGCCCCCGCTAACCAGGAGGATGGCAGATGAAAGTGTATAGCCAAGTGAGGAAGGTCAGGCTGCTGAATGGAACAGATTTAAAAATGCCATTTTCTGGATACAAATAGAAATATTGTTATATATGTTTTATAAAAATGGCCTTTACTTTCCAAAGTTTAATATGGCCAACATGTTCACTTTAAAGTGATTGTTGCAAGCTGTATGGAGAAGTATACATTTGATTTTATGTGTCAGTGTTAAACCTCGATTGAACCGATACTGGAGCAGCTCAACACTACCGTTCATGTCTCCTTTTCTTCTTGGAATGTTTTCTTGCAGCCTCAGGGAGCTGCGCAGGTTATAGATATATTAAAGGTGCAATTGTTGACTTGTTCTGGGCTCTTCACTACTGAATACATCACTCACCTGGAACATGTTTTCAGCCATTGAAGTCTGAAATATCAGAATTCCAGGTCAGTGACCATTTAAGAAGTAGATCAGGATGACAGACCTGTTTAAAATGTTTGCCTTTGTGTACATAGATATTTCCAAACTTCATTAGGAAACAATGTTTGTCATACTTGCACTCATTAATAAGATTGTGTAACACAAAGAGAACCAGTCATGCACAGGCTTGCGTGTACTTTAGATCCTGATAACTAAAGGTGAAAGATGACTTGAGGTCTAACACTTGCTGCTCCACTAACTCTGTGACTGAATCAGCCTGCTGTCTCTTGAATGCATGTATCATTATCACATTACAGACCTTTATTTTAGGGAAATATAAACAACTACAGGTCTATGTGTTTGATATTATTGTGGTCGCTATGATTTCTGTTTCCATCGATTTTATTCATTCTTATTGTTTTGCAGCCTAACCCACCTTGGACTTGTTCTGCTGGTTCTTCATTACTCCGTAGAGTTTCTGTTTCACATCTCACGACTTTTTTACTTCAGCAATGAGAAATACCAGAAAGGGTACGTATCAAAAGTTCATAATTGCAATCACGGGTAAAAACATGCGGGTAATGATGGCAGTTGTGGTTTGATTTTTTTTTAGGGGAGGCAGATGGCCTTAGTGGGGTTTTTATGCAGGTAGTTGGAGTCCACACAGCAGTTCACACCAGGGCAATTCGGTCGCGTGGATTTGTCCCCGTTTAACCGCCGACCTGAATGATCCCATACATTCCTATGGGGACCGGTCATGCGATCCGAACCGCCTGCTGCCAGAAATGCTCCCTGAGCTATTTGGTTTTTTTGCGCTAATCAGCGTGGATTGTATTTAGATTTTAATAAAAATGCACTGAACAGTATGTTTTTAAGTGCGCCTTTTAAAATTCGCTTAGAAACCACATTGAAACGCATCCCCTCTGATGTGAATGAGGCCTTCATTCACTTCTCATGAGGCAGGAGAAGTGAACAATCCAGGACAAAATAGCTGATTTGGAAAAATTCTCCAATTCAGCTCACTTTCCAGTTCAGCTATATTGGCCTGGATTGTTCCCTTCTCCTGCCATCTCCAAACTTTTCACCCTTTTGTGAACAACTCTGTAAGTGTGTTTTTTGTAAGTGTGTTTTTTTTTTTTTCTTATCCTTGGTTTCCCATTCTGGTTCAGTTGTTCAGCGTTCAACAAATCCATAGAGCCGGCTAGCCAGTCAATTTATAAAGACTTGGCACCTATGTTCTGATTCCATTTTCAGTTGAAGGACCTTGCTCCAATAAAATAAATCATTTCCTTGTCCACTCTTGTGTTTTTAATTGTTGTCTTCCCTGATCATTTTTTGTCTGTCTACCATACCAGCACATTTGTGGGTGTTTTTTGTTTTTATCTTTTATGATTTTATGTTGCCAGGTTTACATTGTGGGCTGTTCTGTTTGTCCTGGGACGTCTGCTTACCCTCATACTATCTGTACTTACTGTTGGGTTTGGACTGACTCGAGCAGAGAACCAGGTTTTGGACATCAATACTGGAAATTTCAACATTCTAGCAATCAGGTATAACTCCTATGTTTTGTGATTTATGGTGTGTGCCTTTTACTGTCATTTATGTGTATTACACATAGTTCCCCTTTTTATAAAGCTTGAAAAGAATCTAGCCTAAAGATTGCTTTCCTACCAGAAGCGGTGATAAAGTGCTACTGTTGACATTTACAGGTAGAAATATAACAGTTGCAGGAGGTGAACTTTAATCAGAACTATGGCAAAGCTATTGACATATAAATATTTCTATTTTAACAAGCAGTAAAGGTACTTTAAAGCCCGTGTGGGCCTATGTAGCTGCAGGCACGGCGCATTCTCAAAGTTTACAGCAAAAACACTTAGTGGTCTATTTATAAACAATTTGTAGAGCCATTTTCCATGCAAATCTATGTGAATGTTCTGTGCAAATGGAGGCAAAAAAAGAACATTCTTTAGTATACCTGCGAAGGTTCTCATTCATCCAGGTCATGGTATATCTGTAAAAAATAAGTCAAGGCAACTGGACTTGCTGTATTTTTCTTGAAAACTTTTCACTGGACATCTGACCAGCTTTCTCAATTCACAATGAATTGCCTTGACTTGCCAGTTGCCTTGACTTATTTTTTCAGGTTCGGTATAATACCGCATTGTGGCCACTAGATGGATAGCATAGGAATTAGGAAATCACCAAATTTCCGAGACGCACTCACAGGCAACAGTGCCTTATATCTCATACTGCAGATTTAAAACTATGAGACTATATGCAGAGGAGTGCCTAGGCATCCTCATATTTCAGGAGGTGCACTGCTATTTTTCAGAAGGAATTCCAGACAAAAATGCATTACAGGGTGCTGGTTAGGCCCAATTAACATTTTGGTGTTCCTGATAACATTGCAAATCTTCACATTTTGACTTCAGCTCCACTTTAAATATGCTTCCCGCTGAATATTTCTGTTCACATAAACGTGTAATCTATTTAGAACTCTTATTTATGCTTCATACATAAACATGAGAACAAAACTTCAGAATACAAGAGTGGTTACAAATTTGTAGGGTAATAAATCAGACAACCACCTATTATGAGACCTTATGGCTCTGTCACACCAACAGCTTTGTGGGAAAGGTTTTTAGGGCTGGCGCAGTCCTGGACACGTACCCTTTTTTGCGACACACGATGCACGGCTTTTTTAGCCACGATAGCAGGATTCTGTGACTGCCCCGTTTGCCGCTTGGTCACCGATCGCCATAGTGTGAACCTAGCCTTACAGCTACAAATTTGACTATTTTCAGCAGCAATTTGTAGCAAGCTAGAGTTGCTGGCCTATGCTGCTACAAATTGCTAGTGTGACAACCTGTGTAATCCTGATTCTGTTACCAAATGCTGTAGAAGGTCTGTGATTCAGAGATTGCTACAATTGCTGGAACACACACCATTCACTGACTACAAATCTCTTTTCCCAGCCACATCACTACGATGATCAATACTTTACCTGCTATAAATCGCTGCTGTGACGTAGCCTTGTCTTCTTGGGTACATGGCTGCAAGTTTGTACAGCCTATCATTAGATTTAAGGGTAATGAAATAGCTCGAGAACATCATGAGAACTACACTGGAAATGCATAGGCCCATGCATATTTGATTCCAGAAAGTGGAAGTCTGTTTCCTGATTAAATGAACTCCTGAAGAGTATGATCTGTAATTATCTTCCTCGTTATATTTCAGAATCAGTGTGCTGGCATCTATTTGCATAACTCAGGCATTTATGATGTGGAAGTTCATTAATTTCCAGCTGAGACGGTGGAGAGAGCACTTATCCCCACAGCCTTCCCAGAAGAAGAGAACTGTTACTTCTAAGGGCAAGAAAGGAAAAGGTGTGTATTTGATTTTTTTTCTTTATTATTATTAAGCCGAACTCCAGGCAAATGGCTAAATACACAAATACATGCATGTGAACAGTTTTACTTGTCAAAGGATTTCTAATTTTGTCCACACTCCCCCGCCAGACAGCAATTTGAGATTTTAGACCACTCTGCAGCCTAAAATAACAGTCCCAATTAAATGGGCCTGCAAGCATTCTACAATGCAGCATACGCTGCAACACATTCCTTCAGTCTGGAGCAGCCCCCCGCAGTACTTCTTTTCACCACAAGGTGTCCTCAATGTTCTAAGTTGATTGAGGCACAGAGCCACTCAGCCTACAAGACCAGCCGCTGCTCAAATGGTGCAGCACAGTGCACTCTGTACTTTTTTTTTTTTTATGTCACAAGTGACATTTCATTAATTTGGGCACGAGGCAGTTATACCGCGTACATCACACTGCACTAAAAAAAAAAAAGTACTGCATGCATTGCATTGCACCACCACATGTGAGCTGTGCCCATCCTTGTCTTGTCCTGCATTGGTGCTGCACTGGAAATAACGTCCAGCACAGTCCCAACCTATTTGGTGTGAAATAGGCCCTGAGGAAATACTATGAAAGCAGGATGCCAGTTCCCGTACTTCTGAGGCTTTGTCACCACTTTGCCTTCATTCATAGTTCATTGAAGTAGGGAGCTGATGTCAGTGCCACTCTTTGCATCATTTGAAGACCCCCAGGGCTGGAGAAGAGACTAAAGACCCAGGGTGTCATGTGACTACCCTGAAGACTTTTACAAAGGTAAGTAGAAAAAAAAAAAAAATCAAGCAAAACCTGCATGCTAAGGGTCCTCCTAGAAGAAAGGAGGTTGATTGTGATGGGCGCCCAGAGTTGGGATTTAGGTAATACCGCCTGATCCAGGACCTGCTTGTTAATGGACAATGAAAGAGCAGCAGCTCACTGATGCGGTCATTCCTTTGGTTTACCCTTCTATTTAGGTACACAGGTTAGTGCTAGGTAAAATACTTAATTTTTTGAATACATACATAACTGGATGCATTGACTTCTTCATATCTGCCTGAAGATCAATTGTAAATGGAAAGGTCACCTCTGGTGGGCTTTTTCTCATTCTGTAAGTTACATGCACAGAATGGAATGCCTCAAGTAAATCAGTAAGGATCTTAAAAGCAATTAAGCTATGACTTAGGCTGGGTTCACACCTAGGCGTATCGAATATGCGCGTTTGTGTCGCGCGATTCGCGATAAACAGTGCGGCAAACACACGTTTCCGAGGGCTACTTGGCTGTATCCCAATGGAAACGCGCGACAAAAACGCCCCAAGGAAGCTCCTGTACTTCTTTGGGCATAGGACGTTTTGTAGCGCGTTCATACGGCCTGTAATACGCCCAGGTGTGAACCATACCCATAAGAAATAATGGGATTTCGATGTTTGAGCGTTTTGCAGAGCGTAGGAACGCGCTACAAAACGCCCAGGTGTGAACCGGGCCTAAAGCCGAGTAAGGCAGAAACATGTCAGCGGTTGTTTTTTATATAGATGCATGTGGAATAAAGTTTTATTTTCTTTGGAAGATCCTCAAGTGCTGGTTCTACAGTTTTATAGCGTAACAATCCATAGGCGGGTCATCTGTGTACCGAATGTGGATTACAAGCATGCATGACAGTGGTGAGCTGTGCGCTTTGTCTGTCTAGTCTTCAAATGGTGTTATTTTGCAGGCACAGAGCAGTTCCGGGACATATGCTTTTAGATGAGCTCTGCAGCCTCAGTGAATCCCTAATGATGGGGATGCTTTAATACACTAGTCGGCAACCTTACTAACAAGTAGGAGGATATGGGCTGTTAGCTTTACCTGAATCCTGGGAGGAAACCGTAGCACCCAGCAGACCGTTATCCTTCACTTGCTGATATGCTTTTGTAAAGTTTAAAAAGTGAAAATGTCATAACAGCTTTATAAATTACTAATGTCGTTAAATACAAATCTTTTTTGTTGTTTTGTTCCTTGTATTTATTGTACAGCATTAGAAATATGCAAAGTTCTACTGTATGTAAAGAGTCAATAAAACATTTACCCGTAAAAGAGATTACTAGTAACAATTGAATTGCAAACATGAGTCTCCCGTGTGTTAGTCAGAATACCCATGCTATCCAAAGTGTATTATAAGGCTTAGTCAAATCTAAATATCTAATGAGGCGTGACCTCTGAAATCTATGTGAGTACCTTTTTTTTATCTGTTTATTAAAACGTTTTTATGCGATGGAGGCGCTCTGTGTCTTGTCTTGTAGATACCGTAATATATATCTAGATAGATAGATAGATATATATACACACACACGTTACAACTTGTGTCTCCGCCGTGCGCTCCTTTCTGAAGATCTGAAGATTCCCAGGCGGCCGCAAAGTATCATGGGGCGGGCGCTTACGCAGTACAGATCTTCGCCCGGGAGACGAGAAGAGACACAAGGTAAGTTAGTGCAGCAGCGTGCACCTGCACAGACTCCGAGGGACAGGAAGAGACAGGAGTCAGCACTGGATCAGAGACTGGCACCAGCGCTGGAGGGACTCCTGAAAACGACTGGAAAGAAGATGATGATTGGATCAAGAGGCATCATTTAAGGTAAGTCCTTACACAATTTTTTGGCTTAATGTCACTTTAACTCTTACTTTTCTTTTTAACTGTAATGCATTGCATGTCTAAAGCTCACCAGACATGCTACAACCTGACCATACAATCTCTGTACAATCCAGTTTAGATCCACCAAAACTATGTAATATGGTGACCAACCTGATCTATTCAATTTGTATCTAACCAGGCAGGCCTTGCACTACATACTTGGTAGCTCTAATGGAGATGGTACAATTATGTGTAAAACATCCACCGAGCGGATGCCCATTCACACAGCAGTGGCGCCCCTAGATGGCACTGACAAGTATAGGAGTTACTCATCAGCACCATCAAGGGGCACTTCTGCCATGTGAACACCATCCATCAGCTATACACCGGCAGAAGCTATCTACATGAAGCCCTTGGATTGTAACACATGTGGTTCCCTTTACAGGCTATACAGATCCTGATGGTGTCATTGAATTTAGATTTAATAAATATCAAATCGTCCTAATTGAACAAATATATACAGTATTTAAACCAGTGTTGCCTTTTTTCTTTTCTTTCTAGAAAATGGCGTTAATGGAACAGTAACCTCCAATGGAGCAGATTCTCCCCGCAGCCGAAAAGAAAAACACTCTTAAAAAGGAAGCATAAAGTCATTTTGCAGTTGTTTTACTCTGCTCCCAAAGAGAAGTTGCCTTGTGTTGTACAAAGCCCCACAGCACTAGAATTCTTACTGTTACAATAAATAATGCAGCGTGTTTCTAAACAAGCATATGCCATGACCTTCAAAACCTACCTGTGACGCATACACGGGAGAGGTGGCCACTTTGGGAGCTGGACCAGTCATTAAGAGACCGCACCCTATCCATTCACTAGTCATATCATTAGTCTGGGAGGCTGGCCTCAAGCCACAGTGATGTTATTTCCTCTTGGGAATCGATGGGGTGTGCATTGGTTCAGCCCACAAAATGGCTGCATCAAGTGTAAATGGTGGCAGGTATACTTTCAGACTGTACAGGGTGTTT